GCGATATAAGGGGGAACGGGTTTGTCTTGATCGATCGTTTTGATTCCCCGACTCTAATATTGCCTTATACGGGTTTGACTCTGTTGCCTTGGTCGGCCGCTCATGCCGCGTGGCGGCCGCAGTTTGATTGTCGCTGATGTCACCAGGGGGACTCATGTTCTTGGCGACGACTGGTCCTGGGTTACGAGGGAGCAACACGTTTCCCCGAGCTTTCCCGTAGTGCGGGGGCGCTGCTCGCGCAATTTCGAATTCGGTTGCTGGCGAGTCCTCCCGCCGCTTTACCCTCCCGGAACCTTCCGCGTGGACTCTGTGAGTCTGACGCTGAGGCTTGAAGGCCTCAAACCAACCACCTCTACAACAAAAGACCCGATGATTCGATCACTTTGTGAGGCTTAGGACGAGGCCTGAAGACTTCGAGCCCACCACCTATCCCCCAAACCCCTGACGGCCGAAGTTTTGTCTTCCGCCGCCATGGCCCTTTCCCCTTGATGCCTTTTCCCGTCCTGATGCACGAGGGCATTTCGTTTTCGCGGAAGCCCTTCTGATTTTATCATTTCGGAGCGATCCGACCCCCATGGGATTTCGCGATGACAGTTCGACTCCGGGGTAACCTCTGGCACGAAACGAGAGCCTCTCGTTCCGTCCGGGAGACTCAACACCTACGGCCAAAAATCCTCGGCCACGCCCCTCCAAGAACTCTGATCGGCGACCCCGTACGGGAAGTCGCGAGGGGGCGTGAGGTTGGTATCAAAGCTGATTCGTTTCGGCTCCGAGGTTTTTGTAGGACGATTACCCTGTTTTAAAGTTTTTCTTTTTGATCTTTTTATTAGATTTTTCGCCTTTTTTAGTAGGCTGGCTCCCTGTCGACGGAGGCCCGCGAATAGCAATCTGAACCGAGCGAGAGGCCGGGTTCGGCGTGCGCCTATCGCGATGGTTGACCCCGGGATTGGGGGTGGAAACGACGGCGACAACCACGCGGGGATGGCCGATCATCCCCTGTATTGTGTACCTCCTCCCTCCGAAGTTCCCATTTTTTTCGAAGATGACACGGACCCTCTCACCTGGCTAGCTGCCTTGAAAGCCCAGGGCCGGTCGGATCAGTTGCTCCGAGAACGAATCCCCGGAAGGTTAGCCGAAACCGCTTTTGAGTGGTATGGACATAACCCCTTCACTAATTGGGCAGCCTTCCAGAGGAAATTTCTCGATACATTTGATCACATCGCACCAGGTCAATGCCTCCGTTTAGTAAAGGAATACACGCAGCAGCCTTGGGAGACCTTGGCTAGATATGTTGAACGTTTTACGTACTTAGCCGAACCCTCCGGGGTGGACGAGAAAATGGTACGGACTGATTTCGTCAGAGGATTGTCAGATTCTCGCCTGCGGAAAAAGATCCGCAAGAAATGCAACCCTATAGAACATACCCTGACGGAGCTAATTCAGTTCGCCATTAAGTATGGAAAGGAAAATTACGATGTGGGCCTGGACTCAGAATTCGACGAAGACGACCCTTCGGGTGTTCGACGCAATAGCTACTCCGCTACGACACGAATGTTCGAAGATGGCTTCGGGCTGGGTCCAGCTAAAAAAGGCTCGGATCGGAAAGCTTCGTCCTCTGCTCCGACCTCCCGTCGCTCCGGGCAGGCTCAAGGGGGCCGGGCCGAGGAAGAAGCTTCCATGAAAGGGGTCGCGGCCCAACTAGTTACGGTAGTGGCCCCGTTGACGGAGCTTGTTCAAAGTCTGCAACGACAACACATAGCCGCCGCACAATGGCAACAGGCGGCTATGGCCGCCGGGGCCCCTATGACCAGACCGGTCGTGGTCGGGGCTGTCCCGCCCCTGCGCTGTTATAACTGTAATCAGCCAGGCCATCTTGCGAAAGATTGTCCGAAACCTCGAACTCAGAGTGGGCCCGCAGGGCCCATTGGACCTTCCCAAATCCCGCTGGCTGCTCCCACCGCTGCAGGACAGGGGAGGGTAGCCACGGTGATGGATACTGGGGCAATGGAGATGGTGACCCCTGCGGCCACCGAGATAGGGCCCAATGAATACATGGCTGCGGCGATGTTCGAACAAGGGACCATCGGGGTGATACGTCACGTCCAACGGATTACCGAGGAAAGCGAGCTCGGGCCGTGGCGACCAAGGTTTGAAGACCTTGCGGCGCCTAGTCCTGGATGCAAGGATGGCCATATCGACGTATTTGATGCCTTGAAGGCTCTGGATCTTCGGATCCCCATCCCTATTCCCTATCTGCTAACCATTTCCGAAGCAGCTAACGAAAAGTTGATCGAACGATACCTCAAAAATAGGTGCCGATTCGAGGAAAGTCGAAAGGGCAAAAAGCCGGTCCTACGGGACCTACCCACCAACGAGGAGTCGCAGCCCTTTACCTCAAAGGTGCACGAAACTGACCGGATAGGAATGATCCAGACCGTAGACTCTGCCTCGGAAAAACCCGAGGTATTCCTCTGAGCCTATCCTATAACCTGGAAAAGCGTTGAGTGTGACTGCGAGGTCTGGGGAAATCCCTCGGCCGCCATCCTAGACTCGGGATCGTCAGCGGTCGCCATTTCTTGGAGATTGACGAAACAACAGGGAAGGGAAGGACAGGTTCAGCCCCTCCGACCGAATGAATTGTATAAATCCGCTACGGAAGACAGTATTCATTCTAAAGGGCAAATAACAAACGTACCTATACGGATGGGGCGGGTGCATTGTTTGTGCGACGCAATCGTTCTGGATGTAAAGGTGTATGATGTTCTGCTAGGCATTCCGTGGCAGGCGGCAGTCGGAGCGCGAATGCACTTTGACAGTTGTAAGGTGGTGCTCACAACGGGCCACCCCAAACCACAAACAATACCAATGAGACTGGCGGTGCGCATGCGCACCCAGCCGGCGCCTCGAATCACTACGAAAGCCCGTCAAATCAACATGATCCGACGCCTGTCGCTAAATGAAAATGAAGCCTCGTCAGAAACTGACGAGACTGATGTACCCGACCGATACCCGATCCGAGTTCAGGATCGGTGGCGCCATTCTTGGCGGCGAGAACCCCTGGAAATAGTCCGGAGCGAGTCTTTGGTGCAGGTACGGAAATCCGCGCGCTCCTCCAAAATCCACCCATGCTACACAGGCATTTACGAGGTGACGGAAGTTGGCGCACGAGGCCAGCACTCCGTGAAGCTAGTTCCCAGGCACAACTCGCAGGGCTGCCCGCGGACAAGGCATGCTGCTGCCCTTCGGCCTTTTCGCCCATCGCTAGATCTCGTGCGGCCACCTGTCCTGCCCGAATCACCTTCTTCGTCCCTCTCTCGTGCTCCTTCATCCTCGCCTCCTTCTTCCCCTTCTCTCCGATCAGCGTCGTCGGCATCCGCGGAAGACCTTGCCTCGCAGGATGAACCATCGCCAACAGGAGCATGAACTGCTCAAGCACTTCCAGCCGCCAATCTCGGATGCTCTTCTCCGGAACCGGTTCAACGACGATCGGCAGCTGCGCTTCGACATTCAGCAAGTGAACATGTCGGCTCCTAGCGTTGCTGACTTGGCGGTGTACTCGCTCATCGCGCAGCGGGTAACGTACGCGGGCGTCTATGTGGACATATCGCCCGTGCATGGTGAGGAGTCCACGAGAGTGTTCACCGAGTTCCGAGCCATCCAGGTGGCTACGAACTTTGTGCACAACATCGCTACTTTCACCGGGGACTTAACCGTCTTGCCCGGGCACGATCGGGAGCCGGCGTACAGGTTCTTGTGCGATTACGCCCTCCAGGTGGCGAGATCGGTGGCGCGAGTGCAGGCGAGGGGCTCATCGCTTCACCGCATACAAAAAACTTCTGCGGCGGACTCCGGAGGGAGCACTTGCATTGGTGCCGCAGCTTCCCGCGCTCCTTCCTCCCGCCGAGCCCCTCAACATTCAAGCTGTCCCTCCCCCTTCTCTCTAAATGCCTCCCTTCTTCTCTTACACTACCCTCCCTTCCCAACTGACACAGCTCCCCTATCCTATGCGCAACTTCCCCGACTACCTGGTGGAGCTGACGGACGTGGAGCAGTTGCCGCCCGCTGACGAGGACGTGTGGGAGCTGCATCGGCCGCTTTATTCGTCGGTGGTGCTGGGCATGTTTACATTTTTCGTGGAGCAAGAAGTTCATAACGTAGGCGAGCTCCTCTACGTATACTACGTGATCGCCAAGCTGAAGCCGGAGCAGAAGGAGGGAACGGTGGCGTTTTACCCTTTTGGGAGGATCGGAATGAATTGCCCGGGGCTCTTACAGCTCATTCACATCGAGTTGTTGTCCATCGCACAGGGAATCGCCGCGAAAGAAGAAGACTTGCAACTCAGACTGCGGACCGCCTCAGCCCCGTGCAGATCGTATAACGCGGCGGTGATACCTGACTACCTGGCGCGTGAGGGGGAGTCCGTGGTGGACTTCGGGCACGAAGATAAGCTGCGGCGGCCTCCATCATCGTATCCAAAGTCGGCGGCCCTTAAGGCACCGAGAAAGAGAACCGTCCTGAAGCGGCGACGAAGTCCATTGCCGGAAGCTCAGGCCAGTCGAGTGGGGGGGAGGTCGTCCAGCCTGCGCCGGTGCGCGAAGTCGATCCGGTTTGCGAGAGAAGAGCCACACTCATCATCGGGCCCCGACTGGGGTAGGACTGCCCCGCCGAAGAACCGCGGAGATCCACAGGCCATCGGGAGTCGATACCTCAGCGACCCCTCCTCCCCAATCTCAATAGCCATGCAGCCGGGCCATCAGGCGCAGGGGGGGGATTGGGACGAGTTCCATATCCCGCATCCAGACCCCCCCTCCTTGCAAGACTGTTCCGATTTCGCCAGCCCACCCGGGATACCCCGGTCATTGACATTAGCAGTTCCCCCGAGCCGGACAGTCCATCAAACCGACGTGAATCACATGGTGGAACTGGCCACCATCCGGCTTGAGGCCATCGAGGGGGCGCCGCGTCCTGATCCGGCATGGGGGGCGTTCTTGCAGCGTCCATTCGACGGATGTATAGCGGAGAGGTTGGTGGGCACGCTTATCTACGAGACCGGCGGGCGGCCCAACATTATGTACCATATCCTGGTCTTCGCGGCGGTTAAGCGGGAGCGGAGGCCATACACGGAGACCCATCTGGTGCTGACGGGTCCGATAAATCGGCCGCTGCGACGCCGAATAATTCGGGCGATCGCCGATCTCGCGCCTCGGGTCCTCTCACATGTACCGGGGGCTTTCCTCTACCCCTCCTTTGTCCAGCACCACTTCAATGAAGTGGAAGTGCCAGCCAACTTGGCCACGCTCGCGTCGTTTCTCCCTCCTTTTCCGCCCTCTCTCAATCCGGAGATTGATTACTTCCTATGATCATCTCCACCACCACCACCTCTTTCTTTTTCTTCTTCTTTTCCGGATCTAAAGCTCGCGCGATGATACGCGCTGTGTAAAAAAAAATAAAAAGAAAAAGAAAAAAAAAAAATTACTTACCGATCGGGCCAGCTGACGATGAAGGGGCTGCCCGATCGAATGTATACTATGGGAGGAGGCGATGGAGGATGCAGGATGCATCCACGTAGATTAGGAAGATGATCGGGCCAGCTGACGATGAAGAGGCCGCCCGATCATCCAAGATATGATGACATCAGCAGTCGGGAGACTGCTAATTTTTCGGAACCCCCTGCGTRTCACAGATGTGATAAGCTCAGATCCGAACCGCGCGGCTTCCCGTATCCATGAGGAAAAAGCCCACGGAAGCCTCGAAGTACGGACATGGACAGAAAGGGGTTTTTCTTTCTTTCTGCTTTTGTTTTCTTTTTGAAACGTCTTTTTCATTTTGTTTGGTTAATAACTCCCGCGGGGGCGAATAGCGGCCGCGGTATGAAAACCAAGAAACGGGGGCGGTTGGGACTTTTTGAATTTTTGCGCGCGCACGCCCAAGCTCCGATTTCTTCGCGCGTCTCGCATCCCCATTTCTTGCTTTGCATCCCCGCGCCATCTTCCCTTCTTGCTGCACACATTTTCCCCATGTTGGACTCTTCGTCTTCCCCTCCGCCCAGCTCGATCCTATCCCCGCGAAGTGATTGGCCGCGTAGTTGGGATGCTCAGATCAATGTGGAGAGCGGGAAACCGCGCGCCACTTGAACGGACACCCCAATCACGTAGGATCATGCCATCCCGCGGGTCGAACCCTCTAACTCCCCACCTTCCTCCTGTCCTGCTCATCTACAACCTGCGCTGCCCGCACCTTGCGCTGACAACGTGCCACCTCCCGCGCTATAAATTCGCGCAACCCTCTCCTCTCTTTCTCTTTGATCTCGACTGCAATGTTGCGCGAGCTATGCGGGAAAGTCCGCGGCGCCGAACAGGCTCGACGAGCCCAAGGACGGGCGGAGTGACGACGTGGGGTGGACCCGCGGTAGTCTCGGGGCGACGCAGTCGGAGGGACTGAGCAGTGGTGGGGAGTTGACACCGGCCGCGGCAGGGCCTTGTGGCTATGGTGGTCGGTGGTCTTGGGAGGTTTTGAAGGCTGCGCCTGGGGGCGGCAGTGAATTGAAATTTTTGTGTACAAGAAGGACTCGCTTTTATCACCATTGCTGCTTTGTCTATGCATGTCATGTGTGTGAAGCCCCGAGTGATGGGAGCTGGTTGTGCGCATGAGTGATGTCGAAGGTCTATGGATGATTAGATGTCCTGTCAAGGGTTGTTGATTGTTTGCATGCATGTGTGTATGTACTTGTCCGGGCGGGGACGGGGAAACTGAACTGGGGGACCGTCTGCCTAGGAAGACGAGTGTGTTAATCCCGTTGTTCCCCTCCCTTCCACGGCCCTTCGCTCGTGCGCGTGCGCGTTCTCGATGTAAGCTCTCTCCCTCTCTCCCCCGCCTCCCTTGTTTTGAGCTTCTCGTCCCCGCACCGGTGACGTCAACCGCCTGCGTCCGCGCNCGTTCTCGATGTAAGCTCTCTCCCTCTCTCCCCCGCCTCCCTTGTTTTGAGCTTCTCGTCCCCGCACCGGTGACGTCAACCGCCTGCGTCCGCGCGCACGGTCGATGCCCCCGCAAAGGGAAGAGAGCTTCAATTTCGCCATCTTCCTCCGACGCGCTAACCCCGAGAGAGAAGGTTGCATCGAGTGTTGCATGGAGTCGATGTTGGTTCGGATGACCGGGAGTGCAGGATCTTGCCCGTGTTCATCGCCCACTTCTGATCGTCTCATCCCGCTAACGACCTTCCCCATCACAGATGACGACAGCGTCTACTGCGATGCGGACGTACGGTGCACGCTGAGGCGAACGGAGCAAGTTTGTTGGTGAGACCCGCCTCGGGCTTGCGATATAAGGGGGAACGGGTTTGTCTTGATCGATCGTTTTGATTCCCCGACTCTAATATTGCCTTATACGGGTTTGACTCTGTTGCCTTGGTCG